TCAGGAAAAAACATACCACTTCTTTAGGCAAGCTGGTGCACTATACTCTTCACTGCATTTCTGAATTACTGAGTTCGCATGAGTAGGCTGATTCCACTTACACGATTCTTCTGGTCCATCGTCTCTGAATCTGAGATCTGCCAAACTCGGGAGACTTCAGGATAGTCAGGCAGATTCCTTCAGGGATTAACAGTTTATATCCTCTTTTGGGATAGATGTGCTAAACTGTCTTTCTTCTACTAGAGATTTGACTTATCCCAAGTGAACAGCTGGGTATGGAAATAGCCTAGTCTCCTGCATGGTTAGTGCATAAGGGAATTGCCCTGTATCTATACCCTCTCTCTTACAATGTAAGCCAACTCATATTTACAACTCCTTTGGACTCTGAAAGCTACAGTAGCTGCTGAAAAAACATTCTTTGCTACCATCCATCTGTGGGTCCGTTCTTGACAGTTCACTGGCAGGGAAGGGGAGATGATGAACAAAAGCAAGTGGTAGCATTTTTAGTGAAATTTCAAATAGGTTGGCATTAAAATGGCATAATGTAAAAATATTTCTATTGACATATATTCTAACAAGTCAGTTTAATTATTATATTAAAATTTAACAATGTTATACATTAGTGTATAAATAAAATGAAGAAATACAGGTAGGCTTTCAAATGAAGCAATGTATTTTGTGTTATAGGATTATTGGATATTTCTCCAGCGCCTACTGTTCAGGCACCAAAATCTGCAGCAACAGATGAGAAAATGGTAAATATAGATTACTGTATAAAGCTGAACACTTGCCTATATTATAGTTGCTATCTTAAGCAATATATGCCGTAAGAAAATAAGAATTATGCATTTGAGGGGTATTAGCTATTTTCTTAAAGTTGTCGTGTTAAGGGCTTCTCAGGTAACAAGATCCTTACTCTTCGTTGAAAATCCTGTATGGAAGATGACCATCGTAACCACCAGTGTAGTAAAGTGATTACAGCATTGCACTAGGAACTGGGAGATGTAGGCTCAAATCCCTCCTCTGCCACGAAGCTCACAGTGTGTTGTTGGGCCAGTCATTCTCTTATCCTAACTTTCCTAGTGTTACTGTGAGGATAAAATGGAGAGGAGGTACCCTGCTCTGAGCTCCTCCAAGAAACGGTGGGATAAAATGTACTAGATAAATAGTGAACTCTTAGTATTATTATTTTTCATCTTTACTAAAGCATACACTTTTTTAGCTTCTGTCCAGTTTGTCTCCCCCCAGCCCCTGAACTTGGCTTTAAAAGTGCCACTTTTAAAATGTGATTTAAGAAGTGCTGTATCATCATCTTATTCATGTATTTCTGCCCACCTACTTGGTATTTCAGATGCAATGGGTAGTCTTTGGAAACACTATTACCATAGAAGCACTCAATGTTAGTGTGTTTGTGTTGCTAATTAAATAGAGCTGCTCATCTGTTTTGTGAAGAGGATCACAATTTTCAGTGCTTCTAACAAGTGAACAACACAGTACTTTGACAGATTTTCAAGATACGATATTGGGTATCTATAAGATTAGATATTTGTCAGCTATTTTGACAGATTTTGAAGCAAATGGCAGTATTTTGACAGATATGCAGATATCTGTAGTTGTGGTCGTAAATTGTGGGTTTAAAGGGAAGAAACAATGGAAAAGTACCTTATTTAGGTAACACTGGAAGAACCGGCTTCAGAGGATAGCTGTGTGGGTCTGCAGTAGAAGAGCTAGTCCAGTAGCACATTAGAAGCTGACAAGATTTTTGGGGTATAAGCTTTTGAGAGTCAAAGCTCTCTTCAAGAGTCAGGTATCTGGACTCGAATCTAGCTGTGGAAGAATTGTTCCAAAGTAATAAAGATTTTGTAAAGTTTCTGGACTGTTGATACATTTGTTTGTGCAGAGGTGTTTCAGTAAGATTTATTTAGACATACCCTACTTTTCCTCTTCAATGGGCACCCAAAGTTGTTCATAATATAGTTCTTGCCTCTTTCATTTTATCCTAACAACCACCTCTGATATAGTTTACTCAGAAATTATAAACACATGATTTGTTTGCTAACCTCACCATGGCCCACCCCAGCAGTAGTTTTCAAACTAGTTTTGCTGAAGTAACTCTGTCCCCCCTCCTCCACTTGCAGCTGCTGGATGACCTTGGGCAAGCCATAGTTCTGTCAGAGCTGTTCTCTCAAGGACAGTTCTCTCAGCCCCACCTACCTCACAGGGTGTCTGTTGTGGGGAGGGGAAGGGGGAAAGAGTTTGTAAGTCGCTCTGAGACTCTTTTGGGTAGTGAAGGGCGGGGTATAAATCCAATCTCTTCTCTTCTTCTTTCAACACAACTAATCAGCAGGTGCTTATTTCAGTATTATTGCGCGAATGCACTACATATGCAGACAAGTACTTCCAATTATGCCAGTTCCACATCATAAATTATACAAGCCTATTGACTGGCCCCACCCACTGGCCACATAAGCCACTCTACCCTTCATTACTCAGTATTCCCAAGATTTTGTTTACGGAAAGGCAATCCATTCAGTATGAGCCAAATTAAGCTTGTTTTTTTAGTAATCTGCTTTAAGTAGGCCCAAGACTGGTTACTTAAATTACTGGCAAAACCTGAAACCTTCATTCCCCATGTCCTACAAAATAAATAAAAATATTCACGTATGGTTAGAACAGTCTCTTGGGACTGAGCAAATGGGTTATACTGCTTCTGAACCACTTGAAATGGCAGCAGGCATCTGATAATCTTAAATGTGTTTTATGTATTTTAATTAAAACTGGATGTTAGAATATCGGTATTTCATTTCTAGGATTCAATGCTTATTTGTGGAAAGGGATACAGGGGATCAAGACATGGACTTAGCTCGTCACATCACAGCTAAGAAACAACTAATCTCATTCTATTTTTATGAATTCAGTGATGTACTTGCCTTACAAAATTAATCACTGAATTGTCAAAAAGAAACGTACATTATTGGAAGAATCTGTTCTGACAACTGTGGAAGTAGAAAATGGCACCTGAATCGTTGTTAAATATATATGAAACTTGAAACACCAACATGCAAGTAGTAAACATTTATTGGTTAAACAGAGCACAGCTGTATTTGTTCTGATGCACAATTACGTTTTTTCTTTCAGCTATGACAATACCAGCCAAATGTCTGAGTCAATGCAAATCCTTGTTCTAATCATGCTTTTAAAGGTAAAGGTAAAGGTTCCCTTGCTCGAAAGCCAGTCGAGTCCGACTCTAGGGCTGTGGTGCTCATCTCCGTTTCAAAGCCGAAGAGCCAGCGCTGTCCGAAGACGTTTCCGTGGTCATGTGGCCGGCATGACTAAGCACCAAGGCGCACGGAACGCTGTTACCTTCCCACCGAAGTGGTACCTATTTATCTACTTGCAATTTCTTGCTTTCGAACTGCTAGGTTGGCATGCTTTTACCTCATGGTAGAAGTCCCATAGCACAGACAGACAGAATTAATCAGCTCTGTATTGATGTTTTTACCAAAGCATTTCACTTTTCCTTGTAGGAATAAAATCAGTACTGCTTAGTCTCAATTTCACACACACAGTTATGGGCCCATTTCACAGGTAGTGAAATAATGTTTTTAAAGCAGGAGGACGGAGGTAGAACAACCCCTACTCTGAGCTGCAAGCCTATTGCCATTGTAATTGGTCTATTTTATGACACAGAAATACGGGTTTTTTTCATGACTCATGAGATTGATTGCATGGGATTCCAGAGGGGCTTCATGCTTCGTGTTTGTACTGGAGCCAAAAGAAATGATGCCTGAGTTCTGGTTAAATGGAGGTGAAATATCTGGCATCTCCTTAGGCTCCAACTGGCCTTCAAGTTGCAGGGGGGAAAGCTAGCTGTTTCCTTACGATGTTCTTTCAGAGTTATTCAAACTATTAGGTAAGGGGCCATGATCCACTGACTCTTATGTGTACATACAAAACGTCTCTACACTATACGTGGAAAAGGGATGGCCAGTTTTGTAATGTACCAGTAGCCCCACATAGCTCATAGGATGTGGCTTTCGAGTGTCATTCCACAAAGAAGACACTTAAGTTCACACTTTTAATTAAGACTGTCTATGTGCAAAGAATTTTTTCTACAATGATGGCACACTCCTGTAATTTGAAGAGTGACTGCTGTAATTTGACATGGAAACCCAGACATAGGTTTACCACTCAGTGAGAATTAGTTCCAAGTCCCACTGAGTCCAATGTAACATAGTTCCTAGTAAATATGCCTTGGGTTGCTTAACGTTAACGTTTCAAAGCTTCCGAACACCAGTTCATTGCCATAGCTTCTGCGCAGTCCCACATGGCACTGCGATACCGCAGGCCAGCCACTGGGAGGAACTAGCAAGCTCATAAGACAAAATTTTCTTCCCAAGAGTGCTTGGCTCCTACCCAGGGTAGCAACTTTCCACCCCAAAGTTACGTGACCTGGGAGGAGCCAGCACTCTTCCCTCAGTTCTCCATAGCCACCATTTAGGAGTACAGTGGGGAAGGAGGAAGGGATGTGTGCCTGCACAGAAGCCCACTCGATGAACAAAGGTTACAGGTAAGTGCAACCCCTGTTTTTCTTTTGTTATCTACCTAAGTAATGTCAGATAAAGGCTGTTTCATGTGTTACTTCAGAAACTATGGTAAGACTCAGAGGTTCTGTTCCATTAATGGGGAACCCTCCTTCCGGCACAAGGAGTTTTTCTCTAGCAGAAGAGGCAAGTTATATTGATAGAATATTATTAGCCCTGCAGGAAGACTCCATTGTTAGCAGAATAGAAACCTTGGATCCAACCCTGTATAAACATGTTGAGTACGTAGATGTTTAGGTACTTGTATGAAATACATATTTTGATTCCATCCCAAACATCTGCTTTTCCACAAATCTTTTGAGTTGCTAGAAAGTATACATTATTAATTTTGCTTAGATAAATAGATATTTACAGAGTGCTTCAAATACACTACCAAATGGAGAGAGAGAAACCAGATCTGATTTAATTTTTTATTTAATAAATAACTTCCATAATAGCACTGTAAAAAGTGAACATTTGTTAAAATCAAAGGCACTTAAAATAAGAACGTGATATGATTGGACAGAATGGTCAGAGGCAAATATACATATCTTCTGACCGAGTCATGTTAAGACAGTTAAGCAATCTTAGCTACACGGTAAAGGCAAATTTACAGCCAAAACTGGAGGGGAAAAATCAAGTTGTTTTGACAGTAATCTTGTCCAAAATGCAACCAATTACACAAAAAGGTGACAAAGCACCAGGCTTTAAACCAAGAAAGGGTTTTTTAAAAAAGCAAAAAGCACATACCTAATGAAATTAAGGCCGTTATGCATTTAGATGATGTCCTGGTACTTCACAGTACCAAAACCCACAACATGAATTTACAGAGTAAAAACTTTAGGTTACTGTACAGCCATGGCATAAAAATATGGCATGATTAAAGCTATAGTTTCAGACCTATTAGTCCTTCTACTCTCTTTATAACCTCTTGACAACTTAAAATGCTTAAGAGCTTATTAAATTGTCTTTTTCATCACATTTCCATCTCATTCAGCTTACTGTATCCAATAAGGTAAGTCTTGAGGCAGACACTCCATTATTCACAATCTAAATAGAACTTTTTACGTTTACCTGGCTTGTATAAACTATGCAAGCCGCAGCCCTGATGTACCTGTAAAGCTAAAACTGGTCTAATATTAATACTTAATGGCTAGGCAGAGCCCCTCATACTGATTGCTTCAGCCATTTCACTCCTGTCACAGGAGGGAAAGGTTGAAAAGGCACCATGTGACCTTAAGCAGAATGGGCTATGCAGTCTCAAGTTTTCTGTCAGTCCCCTGGCACTGATTTCACACATAAAAGAAAACAAAAACCTTCACAAAAAAATAAAATTGTACTGTACATTTTAAAAATCTGCATAGAAAACAAACCTCATGTAATGAATTAGTAAATTCATTGCAGTATTGCCCTAAAGCTAAGTTACTGTGACTACAAAATTGCTACATTGCATACAGTGTTGTGAAGTTCCAAAGCAGTTTTTTTCATTTTCCCTCGTATTTCGGATTGACCACAGTTGTCACGGCACTCTTATATATAGGATTTTCACCCTAGAAGAAAAACACAGTTTATTAATATCCAAGGTTGCAAAAGTTGTGATTGCAATACTGGCACACGCACACACAAACAAATATCCAGAGTGCCATGTGCAAGTGTGGGCCTTCACTTCCTGCACAGGATCTCTGGATTCAAGCAAGCTAGTACATCTTTTAAGACTCAGTTAAGATTCAGGCCTATTTTGGATTCAAAAATATGCAAAAAAGGGTATTTAAATTGCTAATATTGACAGGTGAACATCTTAGATTCCAACACTTCAATCTGCTAAGGAATAATGGGACTATAAACGCTAGTAGTTCACATTTTATGAATAGGCTACTTTACTGCCTTTATAGGTTTTCTCTACTTCTCTCAAAAATTTGCATGTAGAGTTATACAAATAGTATGAAGAGCATTTTTGCAAGTGCAAAATAAATACTGACTTTATAAAACATCAGCTGCAAGAGTAAATAGACTGCCAATATCATTACGCACAAGGCCAAGATGCAGGCTTCAAAATTCAGTATAGAGAATCTGTTCTTGTCATATTCCACCTATGGTCAACATCCAAGAATTGCTACATATTTATTCATACACACATCTTATTCTGCCACACACAAATTAGTTGGAAGGGGGAACACAGCCATTCCCATCCTTAGCTATTCCCCTGCAGAGCTAGCAAACACCAAAGCAGACAGAATTGAGGGTTTATTGCTCAGGCACACAAATCCTGCATGAACAAGCTGTATACAACAAAAAGTGGACATACACTGTAAAAAACCTACCTCCACAAGTATATGGATACGATGAGTTTTGTTTCAACAAATACTACCAGATTTTGCACTGAGCTACCTATCCACATCAATGTACTGCTCAACTGACTTCCAGAAGTCTGAGGTTGGACTGTGTGGAAGAATTAAGTGCTCCCACATTGGATGAAAACACATCTGTTTAGCACTGTTTCCAGCATCTGAGGTGCCACAGATACCGTTTGAACACATTAGAGAATGCCTATTCGAAGCATAAACCCTCTAATTTTGCAATGGTCAGTTTGTCTCCATATCTCATATCAAAACCATGCAAGGCTTCAAGGCACACATTAAGAGACACTAATAATGCTTTAAGCTAGGCAGTGAGAAAGCATATTAAAGTAAAAACGTGTGCTTTCACTGAACACTCTCACTAAACATTTTACTTCACAAGAGGGCCGTTCTTAGACTTATTTGCTTTGCTTCTAAATATCATGTTTGAATTTGAACAGCAGCTATGAAAAAAGCAAAATGGAAGTTACAGCCAAGCTCCTGGTTTGCTACCTGAAATACTCAGACAGTAGCAAAGAATAGAGAAGCATGAAGACCACCTCTGATGGTGGTGGTGCAGGAATGACATGGGTCTGGCAATGGCTTTCTGCCAACTGAAAATCTACACCAAGAGGGAAAAGATACTGCTGATTTTTTGAATAAAATTCCAAAGCAACTGGACCTCTTACCCAGTCATTACCCTGTTGCCAACCTGCACCTGATATTCAGGTGGTAAACAACAACTGCACAGGTGGAAAGGAACAAAATCAGCAGCTTCAGGAATGCGTCATATAAAAAAGATGCATCAAACGACAGTAAACAACTTATGCTTGCTCTTTTGGCACTTTGAGTCTCACTCTACAAACAGAAGATGGAAGTGCCCATACTATGTGTTTAAAGGGCCGTCATGTTGCAGCAGACATACGGCAACCATTTTGGGCTTTCAAGGCAAGAGACGTTCAGAGGTGGTTTGCCACTGCCTGTCTGTGTGGCAACCCTGGACTTCCTTGGTGGTCACCCATCCAAATACTAACCAGAACTGACCCTGCTGAGCTTCCAAGATGTGATGGGATCAGGCTGGTCTGGGCCGTGCAGGTCAGGGCACCCACATCATAGAGAAAGCCTAGGCATGCCTACATGTAGATGATGTGCAAGTTCATACTTCACACATTATCCTGGAAGTTTGAGTCACTCCCTCTTAAGTAATCCCCTCCTCCAATATTTTTAAAGGGGAAAAAACATGAAGTCTCAAACAGAAGAGAGTGTGATATTGCCAACAGCAGAAGGAAAAAAGAGGGGAAAGAAAAAAAATGCATATGTAACAGTCAACACCATTTTCCCCTTATACCCCTACACTACCAACCCAAAGTTATGCCGTTTTCCTAAAATAACAGAGCATAACCCAGCTAAGCACTTTCATCTTACTGATTTCAGTGCAACAGTTCTAAAAGTATTTTTAACTCTTCCACTGAAAATAATTAGACTTAAAAGGTTCTTAGCATTGGATGAACCATTCCCATACCTTATTTGGAGAATACTGCCCTTTGATTTTATGTGTAGTATATTACTACCTCTATTTATGCAACACAGGGCATTTTATAGTGCTTCAAGGGTGCTGCTGCCCTTTGCAGAGAGCACTGGAGAAGATTGGCAGTGGCTATTGCCCAGCCTCTTAGAGGTTACGGGCCCCCCCACTGAAGGCAACTAAGTCCTTGTACTGACATAGTGTGTGCACATGTGCACAGAGGTGAATAAATCAAACCTTACTAAACCCCACAGTTTGATAAAACCGTAAGTTTGTTCTGGACCCTAACCAGTTCTCCAGCTTCACCCAAATACCACTCTATAATTATAATGTCTGAAATAACAGTTGGTAAAATATGCAAGACTCAAGCGGTAGTTAGTTAATGGTGCATACAGGTAGTGTGAAAGAAGTGACATGCATAGAGAAAGAAACAGAAATGAAAATACGAACGGAGACTTAGAGACCAGCTTTACGTCCATAGTTTGGATTCTTGAAATTATTAATAGGACTCTTGTATATTGGATTTTCTTGCTGAAGGCAGAAAAATGGTTAGTGCGGGATACAGAAGAGACTGGAATATATGCAAAGGCAGAATCAAAGTAGTTGTGCTATATCGATATAAAATTATTAGTCTAATCTTAGTCTATGGTTGCATTCTGTGCTTAACAGAAACTTTAAAAAACCCCAAACTTTACTAAAGAGGTACAAAAAAGAGGCTTCTACACTAAGTGTGTTTGCATACTGAATAATTTCCAGGTAGCTGCATTTTCAGCAGTTACTGAAGCATCAATTAATGGAATCTGTATACACTGGGGCTAAAAGATGGATACTTCCAATTGGGCTTTGCTCAAATGAATTATGTATACTAGAAGAAGTCTCAGGTCAAACAGGCTTAGAGCTAGTCATAAGATAAATACGTGTATGTCCAAGCCATCAAGTCTAAAAATAATTTAGCTTTGCATGGATTGTTGGGTAATAACCCTAGTGAAAATCGAATCCAAACTTGCTTTCTTTAGCCTATGGGAGTACATTATTAAAACATCTGAAGAGCAACAAAAAAATCTGCCGTACTGAACTTAAGATCCGTACTCACCGCATCCCACTTTGCATTCATTTTTTCCTTCTCAAATTTTGCAAATTCTCTTCTGTCATGAATTATCATGAGCAGTTTCCAAATCAGCAATAAGGCAAGACCAATCAGAACAATTCCAGCAACCACACCAGCAACAATGGGAATGATGTCAGGGCCAGTTGGACATTCTAGGAAGCAAATGATTGAAGCACAGTTTCAACACAACGTGAAAGAAATGCTATGGAAACACAACATCAACTGTGGATTCTGGAATTAAACATTTACAAAAAAAAGTCTGAGTAATTTTCTGCTTCCCTTCTGAGCTTAAGTTATAGATGAAACACTAGCTTAATGTAACTTTCTGACCAGCAACTACTGTGAATGGCCTCTCATCTTCACATCTAGCCCCTCCTCAATTCAGCCTCTATTTTGGTACCCTGTGCTAAAGAAGAGAATGGAGGAAGTATGATAAAAAAGAGGTGGTGAGAAGTCATATTGTGGCGGCACTGGCAACAGCAAGCTATTTGCCACTTGACTGAATTAAATTCTGCCATTTTCAGGAAGTGGAAAAATGCTGAAAATTCAGTGAAACACTTATCAACCTGCCACCTTTAAAGTTTAAATCCCTTCGGAGTGCACTCAACAAGCATTTAGAGAGACCATGGTGTCTCTAAATGTCTTTTCCCCCTCTATTGGTTTCAATGGAGGATGGAGGCACCTTCTTTGGGGGTCCAATCTTTTTAAAACTTGGGGTGTGTTTTTTTTAGGAGAGGCAGCATTAGCTATGCGGCAAATTTGGTGCCTCTGCCTCAAAAAATAGCCCCCTCAGTGTCCCAAATACCCCTGGATTGATTCTCCATTATACCCTTTGGGGATGGTCCCCATAGATGGTCCAACAGACTCGAAGTGGGGAAAAAAAATATTTTTTTTTGGCACACCTATAGTGCCAACCATTCCTTTGCATTTCATATACAGCCAAAGCCTCTTTGGAATAATAAGGACCATTATAATTAAAGCTTCTTCAAACCTCAGATTGTTTTCTTGTCTGGAATAGTAACCATGAAAATATAAAGTTCCTCATCAAAGGCTCCTGAGTAAACTCAGCAATCATAGGAAAAGAGGACAAGTCCTCTTGTAGATTAAAAAACATTTAATTAACAGGAACCAGAGAGTGGGTATAAACGGGCAGTTTTCATAGTGGAAGGCGGTAAGCAGTGGGGTACTGGAGAGCTCAGTACTGCGTCTGGTGCTTTTTAACTTGTTCATTAATGATTTGGAGTTGGAAGTAAGCAGTTAAGTGGCTAAGTTTGTGGATGACACTAAGGTGTTCAGGACTGTGAGAATCAGGGAGGACTTAGAGGTGCTCTAGAGGGATCTGTTGAGGCTGGGTTAGTGGGTGTCAACATGGCAAATGATGTTCAACGTGGGTAAGTGCAAAGTAATGCACATTGGACCAAAAAATCCTAACTATATATGTAACTGACCAGGAGAGAGATCTTGGAGTCATGGTAAATAACTCACTGAGAATGTCGACTCAGTGTGTAAAAGCAATAAAAAAGCCAATGCTATGCTTGGGATTATTAGGAAGGGAACTGAAAACAAATCAGCCAGTATCATAATGCCCCTGTATAAATCTGTGGTGTGGCCTCATTTGGAATACTGTGTACAATACTGGTCACTGCACCTCAAAAAAAATTACAGCATCAGAAAAGGTGCAGAAAAAAGCAACTAAAATGATTAAGGGAATGGAATACCTTCCCTATGAAGAAAGGTTAAAGAGGTTAGGGCTGTTTAGCTTGGAGAAATGATGATTGAGGAGTGACATAATAGAGGTTTACAAAAATTATACATGGGATAGAGAAGGCAGAGAAAGAAGTACTTTTCTCATAATACAAGAACTCATGGGCATTCAATGAAATTAATGCAGTAAGCTTAGAACAGATAAAAGGAAGTACTTCTGCACACACAGAGTCATTAACACATGGAATTCACTGCTGCAAGAAGTGGTGGCGGCTACAAGCATAGACAGCTTCAAGAGGGGATTGGATAAATTTATGGAGCAAAGGTCCATCAGTGGCTATTAGCCACAAAGTACAGACGGAACGCTACATCTTGGGCAGTGATGATCTGTATTCTTAGTGCTTGGGGGGGCAACAGTGGGAGGGCTTCTGGAGTTCTGGCCCCACTGGTGGACCTCTAGGGGACCCCTGGGTTTTGGCCACTGTATGACACAGAGTGTTGGACTGAATGGGCCACTGGCCTGATCCAACATGGCTTCCTAAATATACAATATTCAACTCAGGTGTGTTGTTTTGTGTTTTCTTTTCACATAATTAGAAAGCTGCAACCCATGGCAATGACACATAAGGGTTAAATGACTTATGAAGAGCCCATGGTTAAAATAATTGAAAAGGCTTGGAACATGACAGACCAGTACTTGTGTTACATGAAGTTTTAAACCTAAAGCGCTGTTCCCATATGAAGAGTAAGAGTAATACCTGGTGTTTTCACCACATGGACAATGGGTTTGTTTGATTCCACTGAGTAGGTGAAGTAAAACCAGCAGTCATCAATATCCTTCTCTTTGCAATGAGTCTGTGCATCAAAGTCACCAGGCTGTGGCAGCTTGTCCCTATGGTCTACCAGTGTCATGTTAAAATGTGAACATTCTTCTTGACATTTATCTTTCTTTTCCCCTTTGCCAAAAGCTCTGCACTGGACACAGTCCCTGTTGATGTTCAGACACAAAACAACACATATTAGAAAAGCATTATTCGCCATTTCAAGATGAAATTTCAGAAAAATTTGAACACCACACCAAGTTAAACTGAAGCTTAGTTTTAATCATAAAAGCACCGTATTTGGAAATATTGTCGCATTTCCCTAGGATGCATCTGCCTTATTTCCCCCCCCAGCATGGATAATTTAAAAAACAGTATTTAAAATAAAACAATTCTATAAAAACATAAACACATATACACACACATAATACAACCATGAAGGAGGGCCACCAACAGTTATTGGGGGTACACCAAATGAAGTCTTGACCTGCAGGTGGGAAGACAGATTAATATCCCTGGTGGGGGGGTGCGGGGGGTTAGCCCCACAACTGAGAAGGCCCTTTCTCAGGTTGCCACCAGTCTAGCCTCAGGTGGTGGAGGCACCCTAAGCAGGGCTGCTGAAGATGACTGGAGTGGGTGGGTTCACATGAGAGAAAGTGGTCTTTCAGGTATGCTGTCCCCAAGCCATATAGAGCTTTAAAGGTCAATACCAGCACCTTGAACTAAGCCCAGAAACAAACTTGGAGCGAGGTAGATGGAATAAGACTGAATATGATCCCTATGACCCACTCCAGTCAACATTCTGGCCACAGCATTCTGTAACAACTGTACTTCTGGACATTCTTCAAGGGCAGCCCCATATAGAGTGCATTGCAGTAATCTTACCAAGGCACGCACCACAGTGGCAAGAGACTTCTTTCTCAGGAAGGGCTGCAGCTGACTCACCCGCCAAAGTTGGTGAAAGGCACCCAGCCACCACTACCATCTGTTTATACAACAGGACTACTCTGCTCCTTTAGGAAAGGGCAACCCCATCCTGAACATGAGATATCCATTCCTGTGGGTCAAACAGCCACCACCAGTAGCACCTCTATTTGGTCAGGGTTAAGTTTCAGCTTGTTAGCCCTCATCCATTCCAAAAGTGCCTCCAAATTCACAACTTCCACAGCCTCTTTGGGATCTGCTGGGATCACGAGATAGTGCTGTCATCTGCATACTGATGCCAGCTCATCCCAAATCTCTAGAAGGCTGAGTGGATTTACGGAGGTGTTAAAAACATGGGGCAGGATGGAACCTTGTAAGGTCCCACAGACCAGAAGACAAGGAGCACAACAGCACCATACTCTGAAACATACTTTCAAGGTAGGACCAAAACTATTGTACTACAGTCACTGACTCTCAGTCCCAATCCTGAAAGGCAGTCCAGAAGGATACCATGACTGATGGTATCAAAAACCGCCAGGAGCTCCAGGAGAATTAACAGGGTCACACCCTCTTTCCATTTACTAGTGCAGGTCCTCCACCGGGTACCCACAGCTGTTTCAGTCCCATAACCATGCCTGAAACTAGACTGGAACAGATTGAAAGAATCCACTTCATTCTGGAATCCCGGAAGTTGCTGAGCCACCACTAGTTCAATCACCTTTATCAAGAATAGTACATTTGAGATTGCATGGAAGCTATTCAACTTTACTGATTCCAGAGGTTTCTTTGGGAGTGGATGCACCACTGCTCACCCCCCAAGGCAGGGGTGCCCACCCCTTCTCTCAGGGAGGCATTTACTCGTCTCCTGAACCCAGCCTGCCAGCTCCTCCCCCAACAGATTCAAGCAGCCAGAAGAGGCAAGGGTCATGCAAGCAGGCAGTAGGTCTTAAACTTCCCAGAATCCTGTCCACATCCTCAGACTGGACAAGCTGAAAGGTATCCTACACAACTGGCCAAATCAGCACCTTGGGACTATCTGATCCTGTCACAGCTATTGTAGAGTCCAAGTCAGAACGTATGTGAGATATTCTAACTGCAAAGTGTTGAGGAAATTTATTGCAGCAGGCAGCAGAGCAGTCCTCCTCCTCCTGTACGCTGGAACCCAATAGGCCCCTGACCACCCAGAAGAGTCCCACAGGTCTGCACTGTGTGGAGGCAATCAGGGCAGAGAAATATTGTTTCATAGCCAACATTACAGCCATAGAGTAGGCTTTAAAATGAGCTCTGCCCTGTATGTTGTCCCAAGTCTCCACCGTTGCCCTAGCAGTTTCCCTTTTCATCATCTGCAGCCCCTCAGTAAACCCAGGGGCTGCCCAGGTTTTCACATCGGAGACAGAAGGGTACCTAAGAGCAATTGTGTCTACTGCCTGGGGGAATTGCCTCATTTCAGATGTCAACAAGGGCATCAGCAGGAGCACCAGCCCTATCAGCAAGAAAATCCCCGATGCCATCTGAAACCCAGGTGGATCCATTACACTGTGGGGACAGGCCATCTCAATTCAAATTGAAGACTGCTGTGAAAATCAGGGGGTCCCACTACTTCAGCTTGATTCAACAGCCAGCCACTATTTCTAATTCTCACTGGCTCACCACCAATGTTCCCTCTAAGCTGTGGAGTCCTGTGAGCAAGAATTCTACATCGCGAGCTACTGGCATTCAAATTGTGAGCGAGCGATTTGGCTACTGCATACATTAGCTTGCTCTGGAGCCCTCCTTCCTGAGCTGAAACAAAAAATGTGTGAGCTGGAGGCTACAAAACTGAGCTAACTCACACTAACTCAGCTTAGAGGGAACACTGCTCACCATCTCCCTCAAATCCTCTGCACAATGCTAGTAGTTTTACGGGATTTAAGAGTGTTCACACATGGCCCTGGAGCAGGCAGAAACAGTACTAGCCTCTTATGCAGCTTCTACCTCCTCCAAAGTTCAATGTGACAGAGACTGAAACACTGGAATTACTGTGTTTCTTCTCACTGGTGGAATGGAGGGTATGCTTGGCAGACTTAAGTTCCATCTTGCTCCATAAGCAGGGCTATAATCTTTCCAATTCTTGTGTGAAAAGATCCCCTTGTCCATGGCTGCTTTTAAATGCTGTTCCCAGCAAACTGTGTTCCCTCTAAGCTGAGTTAGTGTGAGCTATCTCATACTTTTTAAGCTTCTGGCTCACACATTTTTGTCTTAGCTCAGGAAGGATGGCTCCAGAGCAAACTAATTTATGCAGTAGCCAAATCGCTTGCTTACAACTTTAATGCCGGTAGCTCACAAAGAAGAATTTTAGTTCACAAGACTCCACAGCTTAGAGGGAGCATTGCTAGCAACTGAAGGAAAGGTAGGAACTTAACCATGAATAAAAAAATAAGTTCCTGGGGGGAAACTACAGCTGAATAGCAGCCCTGGGAACTGACATGTCCTCTTATTGTGTCCCCAATAGTTACTGCTAAGAATGTCCTCCATTCTACTGATGAAAAGGAACTCATAAAATAAGTCTAACATTTCATTCTGCATTGGTGGAAGTGAGGGAGTCTTCACCTAGGAACTATTGTGAGAGGACATGCTGAAGAACTGCCCTGCCAAAGACATCTACAGATCTCTTCTGGGTGGGCACTGGTGGTGAAAACCGCTAGCTGTTGCTCCTTTTCCAGAGTGACCCCCAGATGGTAATGAGTAGAATCTCACAAGCCAGATATAGGCAGACTTTTCTCCCCCTTTCACAGTTGGTGTTTGCTGATCATTCTTTCCATGGAAGATGGGTGAAAGGATACAAATAGACTAGAGCTTCTTAGGAATATTAAACTGAGGTAAAAACCTTTAGAGGGTCATGCCAAGTTTTGAGGGCAAGTGTGCTTTAAACAGAAGAAGAAATTAAATTCTGGCTCCTATGGAAAAACGCATTCGTCTTTGAAATGAAGGTGGAGTTTTTGTGAAACACATACAATTCGGCCAGCTCAGATGCTCTTCTAATTACAGGGAAAGCTACTATGATATTATGACCTCCCATTCATATGAATCATACTCAAATTCAAGATATATCCCTAAAGCAAGACATTCCATAATGACCCCAGGGCACTACAGAAGAATGGTCATAGTACTCCCAGGTTAATTTGAGAATATCCACAGAAGCACCCACCAGGTCACCTCTGCATAATGTCCATGCTCTAACAGAAACAGACAGGCAAATTATACATGAAGTTTAACAGAGCAAGATCCTCTGGGCGCCAGCTTGACAGTTTGTGTCTATCCAACAAGCAGCTCGGTGTACAAATACTGAGTGCTTCAAAGTCCCTAACTGTACACATCCTTAAAAACAAAATATATACAGAAAGCGTTTTATTTGACCCCCCCCATCTGAATTCCTTTGTCTTGCATTTGTCATTTTGAGTTCCCCCCCCTTGTTCATTGTGTTTGTGTAATAAAGTAACAATAATAAAGATTATACTCTTCAAGAAGTTTTACTTGTGCTCCGCACAGACTCCAACACAGGTCTGACACAACTCGCACGTAGGTCCCTGGAATTTGGAATCCGTGCAGTTGCAGACCCCGCACTCACAGGTCCCTCTGCCATTGCAGATTTGCCCATTAGCAGCTTCACATGGGGTTGTATCCAGGGGACACTCGCAAGCAGAGCCCGTGTAGTTTTGCCAGCACTCGCATTCTCGACATTTACATTCACCATGCCCTACAGAAATAAAAGGTGGGGAGGGAGATAAAGAGGAGATTGCGTAGTACCAAGCTTCAATGCAGTATTAATATATATACTATATATTATATATATATTAATATATATATATAGTGCCAATTTAGGTCCTCTGCTTAAAAGCTGGTGAAAAGTCCACAGGAAGGATGTTTTCTTCTTTTTAGACAAGTGTTCCCTCTCCTCCATTTCCCTAGCCTGTGTCATCTGAAAGGCCTTTCTAGAGCAAGAACCAAATATTTTGAATAATATATGTTCTCCAGCATACTGGGCTAGTCTGATGAACCACAGTATATATAAACATTTGCATAACCTTGCTAATCTCTCTAACAAGTATAGAATGCAAACCATCATAAACCAACACAGTGAATAAGGAATAAGTATGAGTTCCTGTGGAGAATAAGGGATTAGATCCTGTGGATCTGTTCTGCTATCAGACGCTCCCCACCCCACCAACATATGGAACCTTCCCCTGATGCAAAACACCACTACTAGTGGAACAGATCGGTCAGACCTAACTGAGGACCAGTGCTTAATTCTTCGAGTTGGAGTCACACCAGAGGAAGGCAACTGCCCTGCCTCTGCAGCCTTGTTTGCCCCTGGAAAATGCAAGGCCACTGCCCTGTAGGGTTGGTGGCTAGTACATGGTTCTCACCTTGAAATGGCTGTGGCTGCAGGGAATGGAGGACGGGTAAAGCTGCAAGGAAGCCCTTTCCCCTCACTCCAGATACCCAAGGGCTACATGTTCAGGAGAGAGAGCCCTACACGCTCAGAGGTACTCTGGTAATGAAAAAGGTTAGTCATCTATCTTACGTTTGCAGATGTGTGCTTGAACGACTGATGCATAGGCTATAAAGTAGTTATGTGGCTTCTCTGATTGATGGCAATCATGAATGTGACTCTCCAAGAGCCTGAAGTGAACATCTTTTCTGTCATCTACCAGATTCTCCTCCTACTTTCTCATGGTAGTTTCACACTTGTCATCTCAGCATTTTGAAAATTCACTCAAAAGAAACTAGTTACCTCCACAAATCAAGCCATCAGATCGATCACAGTTGAAGTTATCACAGTGGCAAAACTGGCCAGAGTATATTTCATTTGGGTTATCTCTTATCTTGCACACGCACTGTCCACAAATGCATTCTCCATTGTTGCTACATATTTCTGTACTGTTTTGTGCTCTACAGGTGCCTGACATATCTTCACTGTTAACTTCATCCATGCTGCATTCACAGTTTTTCCCAATACGCCCTGATTTACACCTGAAAGGAAAACAAAAGTGTCCATTGCATGCCTGAATTGTGAAATGTCAGCCTTATGTAAGCATTTCTTCTTACTTTTATTCAAAACAAAGCAACCTGCAAAAGGTTGTATGGAAAAGACGAAAGGATCGACCTATCACTAGATGTTCCAAAATGCATGAACAAAAACTTGAATGACTTTCTTCTGTCTGCACCAGTGTAATAACCCAGAAGCCTGCTCACTGAGGACAACAGCAACTGGGATCTGGCACAGTGCAAAGTCCACTGCAGTTGCACTTTATTTTTAGTGCCCCTCACAGATACTCCCTGGGTTTTTGACGCCTCCACCATGGAAACCCCCCCCCAAAAAAAACACAAGATCAGCCAAACATTTAGAAGGGTATTTAAGGTCCTGTTATCAGCCAGTATTTTAGGCAAATCTGAGTAGATTTGGGGGTTGGTGGTGACAAGGGTCAAAACGTATAACTGTACCAATGCAGCAGTGACAGTCATTTAATTCAGTTTTCCCTTTAGAACTGGGAGGCTCATTTGGATTCTCCCTCATTCCCCCCCCCCTTTTGCTGGATTTCACCATGTGAGGGGGAAAGGTCAGCCAAATTCTCTCCGGGTTAAAAATAGGTTGGTACAGGAGAAGGAAAGGAGGAGATGGTGGAAGACAAAGGGAAAAAAAGCAGCAGCACGGGAAAGAGGAGGAATAAAGGGGTGTGGGGAAGTGAATGGGGAGGTGGGACAGAAAAAAGCCAACTAGAAAACAAAGCTGGCCTTACCTGTAACTATTATCTTCTGTGCAGGCACACATGAGGACTGCGCATGAGCAGGCCTGCCATCAGATAGGTCTTTACAGCAAAAAGCCTCCAGGGGGTGCTGTGCACTAGAGTCAGAAGCTTGTTCCTGTCCAAGGACCACATGCTCCTGTGCAGCAGCACCTCCACCCGCAGTACCTCTAGCGCTGCCAAAGCCAGAGCACGCAGCAGGGCAGGAGGGAGGGTATGTGTGCCCGCACAGAAGATACTCGATGAAGAATAGTTACAGGTAAGTGCAACTTTGTTTTCATCGCCAATCTTCTGGCTCCAGTGTGCAGCACCCCTTGGAGACTTTTAGCTGTAAAGACCTGCACAGAAGATTGATGATGAAAGATACAAGGAAACTGAGAATGTAGTAGGACTATGCAATCCAGCAGTGAAAGAGAGAAGGATGAGGGGAGGAAGGAGAGAAGATTTATCCTTGAAAATGGGAGGGCAAGAGAGATAACAGATGAAGAGAAAGGATGTGGCAGCAAAAGGGGACCAGAGAGAAAGTAGCAAGTCTTACTGAGTGTCAGAGCTCATCTCAAACAATGAAAGATCCATCTCAAGACTGAGTCCTCAATATCAAGGACTGGGAGAAAGGGTTCTAAAATCAAGGTAGTGTTGTTTTCAGTGAGATTTAAGATGATCAGTTACAACCACATTTTTCTCTTTCATTGCTGAAAACTTGGGAGATGTCCACAAAGCTAGTTTTGATTCTATCAGCTTGGTACCCATGACGGGCAAAGGGATTTTTGTTATTTTTACAAGGAAAACATTTTATTCTCTATTACAAACTTTTTTTTTGAGGAAAAACAGTCAAGTTAATAATTATGTACCTGCAAGCACCACACTCAAATGTTCCATTATGGCACAGTGGGCTGTCTGCAATTCCTTCCTTGTGACATTCGCATTCACAGATGAACTCCAGCTTAATTTCTACCTCTTCAGTGAAACCCAGTGGTTTGATTCTAATGGGTTCACTCTGCCCTTTTTCTGGACACTGGGTGGCTGTAACTTTAATCTCAAACTTAACCTGTAAACACAGTAAATGGATTACTGGTATACAGAGGAATAGTAGTCAAAACGTTTCATAAGAACACCATGCGCACTGCACACTTCTGAGCCACCCAAAAATCCAGGCTTCATTCGATGCTCCAGAAATTACCTCATCTCCAATTGAAATGTTCGAGCACTTCCTTCCTTCATCTCCTGTACCATTCACTCCGTTCTTGCAAAAAGATTTATATTCAATTGTCACTTCTTTTGGTAATTTGCTGTTTTCCAAAATAACTTCTGAAGACAATGACTAAAATAAAAGTGAGTCATTTAGTTATACCATACACTATATTTATACCATACAGTATAATTAATCATACAGTATGCTGTTAAAAGGTTTCAACAAAACCTATACAAAACACAAATGGTTCAGTGATGGCACAACAGTCAATCATCCAGCTGAAGCACATGCTTGGCATGCCTGCGAAGAGACCTCCGGGCACTACCCCAGACCCATGGTTTTGCTGCTTGATACCTCTGCACAGGCACAATGAGAGCCTTCACGTTTCTCTGCAGAGATTCCAACAAACAAGGTCCCTGTCTCAGAACGCTGCTCCTCCTTACCAGACCCCCCCAAGGATTCAATATTAGCTCTGCAAGAGAGAGTGCTGCACAAAGCACCTTGCACTCACTGTATCTCATGCCATGTTCTATTCCATTTCCAGCCCATGATCTCAGCCTCGTAAACAGCAGTAATCCAGCTCTGTTAGTGGCAATGAGATACAGATTTCCCTCTTTGTAAACTTGTGTTAGCTTGAGGGGAAAATGAAAGCTACTCACTAGAATAGACTTACATTGTACGCATCGATAATCAGTTGAATCACATTACTGGAGTTTGAAGACAGCGTTCCCACAGCAGATTTTGGAATCAAATTCTTCAGCTCCTGTAAGTATCAATAAAAGTTTAAAAATTAAATTGAAATTTGAGTATTATTTGTTATTTGGGTGGCTATAGGATAATCTCAATTATATCTGGTTTTGGCTGGAGTGCTAAATAATTCAGACAGGTATTCAAATAGATGGGCCCATATTGGGGAAGCAGTGAATCTAGACAACAAGACGTTTGGCACATATAGCGGTTTTCTACTGTAAATGCAAAGACTCTCTTATGAAATAGTTCCAAGATTACAACTTTACTAGTCTGTAAAGTGCAGACTAAGATGAGGGAAATCCAGGTATAAGTCCTTGCTCCACTATGGAAGCTTGCTGGTGACCTTGGGCCTACCAGGCAGATCACGAGAAGGGAGGGCAGGAAGGGCTGCCTCAGTGCTTAGTTCTTGTGGCCCTTTCTTACACGCTCAGGGAAATGCTGATCGCCATTATGGGTTCAGGAAGCAATTGTTCTCCAGGCCAGTTTGGCCAGGGATCCTGGAGGGCCCCCCCCCTTTTCTGGGCATTCAGCAGGGGTCACTGGGGGTGGGGAGGTATTTGTGAATTTCCAGCATTGTGCAGAGGGTTGGACTAGATGATCCTGGAGGTTCCTTCCAACTCTATGATTCTACGATATACTCACTGCCTACCCTGCCTCAGACAGTTGTTAAGAGGATAACATTTCGGACTGATTGTCACTAATATATGGATGACAATCTGCTCTATCTGGCGCTTCTGGCTTTGGAAATCCTGCACCAGTGCTGGGAGGCAATTCTGATGTAGACATGGGCTAATAAACGGAAGCTTAATTCTGACACGATGGAAGTGCTACTCGTGAGTGGAAGGTCTGACCTGGGAGATGCATCACTCATTTTGGAACAGGTCTGTAGCCTGGGGATGATTTTGGACCCAGACCTACTGCTGGATGAGCAGGTGGCAATGGTGCTTAAGAATGCTTTTTACCAGCTTTGAGCTTTCCCAGGCAGAAAAGATGCGTGCCCTGGTTACATGTATATTAGATTACTGCAATATACTCTATGTGGGGCCCTTAAAAAGTGTTTAGAAACTTCAGCTGATGCAGAATGCTGCAGCCAGGAGGTTGACTTGAGTGGGTTGTAGTCATTGTTCCCTCTAAGCTGAGTTCACAGCTTTTTAGCCTCAGGCTCACACATTTTTGTCTTAGCTCAGGAAGGAGGGCTCCAGAGCAAGCTAATGCATGCAGTAGTCAAATCGCTCGCTCAGAACTTTTACACCAGTCACTCACAAAGTAGAATTTTTGCTCACAAGACTCCACAGCTTAGAGGGAACCTTGGTTGTAGTGACCACATCACTGTGGTCTTCGCTAACCAACACTGGCTCTAAATTTCTCCCCAGGTACAATTCAAAGTGCTGGGGTTGGTTGACCTTTAAAGCCCTATATGGCTTGGGATCAGCATACCTGAAGGGCCATCTATGCCCTTAGAAACCTACCCAACCAGTCCTCTTCTGAGGCCCTGCTTGGGTGCCACCACCTTCAAATTAGGCAGGTGGCAACCTTGGAGAGAGCTTTCTTGGTCGTAACACCAAAACGCTGGAACTCTCTCCCCAGGGAGAAGTGTCTGTTCTTCTACTGCTGTCTTCCACCAGTGGGCAAAGACTTTTTGTTTTGTATGGCTTCCTCTCAGTGATTCCCTCTTGCCCAATGTTTTGTTTTTATATTTTTGTATGTGTATTTTAGCTCTGACGTGCATTGTATTAATTATGTGTTTTGTTTACTTTTAATGGTCCTTAATATGTATTTTTATTATGGATGTTTTTAATCTGTGAGCCATCTTTGTGGTCCTGATGAGGGCAGAGAGGTGGGGTATAAATTTTGTAAAAAAATTAAATGGAGGTGAGGAGACAATGTCTACCATTTGGGTTCCCACTGCAGAGAAATGCAGGGTGTAAATAAATATATAGGCATATACAAGTGGAGATCCACAAGAAACTTGTGGGAGTGGCCATCCTATTCCATCTTTACTCCTCCTCTCCACCTCCACCTCTCGCACTGTCTCTCTCTTCCCGCCCCTTACTTCCCGTCTCTCTCCCATGTGTCTGCTATCACTCCTCCTCTTTCTGCCTCCTCACCCCATCATTATTTCTCTCTCTCTTTCTGCCTGCCTGCTCGGCCTCTTCCCTGCTCAAGTGGCTGCAGCTTGCTCGCCCTCCCCCCAGCCTCACTGGCATTAGCAGCAGCTACCTCAGCACCCCCCCCCGGCAGCTTTGCCACCTGGGCAGCTTGCCTGGCCTCTGGGTATTTTCCCTGCCATGGTTCCTGCCGCTCGCCTCTTTCCTCCCCTGCCAGCTTCCATGCCTCGGTGGCTCTGCTGGCCCCCTCCTGGCCTCTTCCCTGCCACGACGGCTGCCGCTCACCTCCCCCTCCAGCTTCACCACCTTGGCAGCTCTGCTGGCTCCTCGCCTGGCGTCCTCACCACCTCTGACGCTCACCTGACTGCTCACTCAGCCTGTTTACTGTTGTTGTGGCTGCAACTTGCATGCCCACCTCTGCCAGCTTCACCAACTCGGCAGCTCTTCTGGCTGTTCATTCAGCCTCTCTCCTGCCATGGCGACCCCCCACCCGGCAGCCCCTCATCTTCTCTCAGCAGCTCACCTCTTTGCCTCCTCAACAGCAGTTCTTCCCCCACTCACCTGCATCTCCACTGCCTCAGGAGGAGAGCTACGCAGGCACAGACAATACTTCTCTTTGGGAGGGATTTAACCCCCCCCCCAATGTATTTGTCAAAGTTTTAAGATTTTTCTGCAAATCTGGAGAGTCCCCCAAGTTTGGAGAAAAAATCTCTTTTCTCTCAGTATAGGCCTGATCCATGTACATAGATATCTGCAGATCTACCTACACTTGAGAAATACATATACGGATATATAAATACAAATCTTTACCTTGTAAACTGGCTGAAATTCTTGTGTCACAGCAAAAATTATCTGTATATTATTGTCACTTAGTTTCTGAACAAGATGAGCAATGGAGGGATAATCCTGCAGAATGAGGTTTAGATAATATTAAGCAAACAATTGTATTCTTATGCTAGGTCACATTACCTATTTAACATCTCTCACAATTTCCCCCTTTAACTGTCTATATAGAAGTATATCAAAAGTGACCTAAAACTAAGCAACCCAGTTTTTCTTCGAGGAAGGGACTTGGCCCAGTGGCAGAGCATCTGCTTGGCACGCAGGGAATCCCAGGTTCAATACCCAGCATCTTCAGTGAAAAAAAGGACCAGGTAGTAGGTGATGTGAAAGACCTCTGCCTGAGATCCTGGAGAGCTGCTGCCAGTCTGAGTAGACAATACTGACCCTGATGGACCTAATGGTATGGATCAGTATAAGGCACCTTCGTATGTGTGTGTGTTTTGCTGCCCCTACCTTAAAATAGAGTAGTATACTCTTAAGAAAAGTGAAACTAATGGCTAACAAATAACTTGAAACCAAATATCTCCAGATCAAAGATCAGCTTTGCTAACGGGCTGGCACTCAATGGCTCACCAACCTTACCCTTCAAAGATCTTATATACATTTCTTTCTTCCTCTCTCAGCTTTCTTCCATATACGTAAAGCGTTATACTGAAATGGGCCCAAACAGCTACTTCTGTTCCACCTAACCCCATCCTTATTTATTATACACTTTTAGGCCATATACTTGTACAAACCAACCAACAAAAGCACCGTTAAACATGCTTACGTAATAATGGCTCATCGTGTACATGTTGTTATCTAAATGACATTGTCCATCGTTTGGCAAAACAATTCCTCCAAGTTTCCCATCTCCAGCAAAATGGAATCCAGCATCCGTGGAAAACACCAACAATCGAGTGACATCCTTTCGCCATCCAATTTTTTCCTTAAGACGAATTTTTGTAAAGATTTTAAAAGGCTCAGTATACAGATGCTCAAAGCAGCAGACAAAACTGAAAATGAAATTATCAGCATGCGTGTGTTTGTTCATATCCTCCCACATGCAGGGATCAGCAAAGAACGAATGATCCCTCTGGTCCCTACTTCTTCCTACAGCTTCATTCTGCCACCACCTCCTACTCCTCCCGCCATCTGTCCTTCCCCTCTGCCTCTGCCACCACTGTTCTCTGACTTACTTGCTCGTGCTGCATCCTTTCTCACTGCCTTGACAGCTGCTCCCTCAAAGGCACGCCCCTCTTGCCCTCCCCGCCACCTGGCTCGCCATGCCATCTATTTCCTTCCTTGCCTTACTAGCTGATCTAGCAGCACCTCCTCCTCCATTTCCTGCAGCCAATCACCTATTTATGGGGTTGATAAACAACATTTTCAAAACACAGCATCACGACTGGTTTTCTTCCAGTAAGTCAAGGACTCCTAAGTCACCCCCCCCCATTTTCAAGATATCCCTTTTCTGTACATGGCCCTATTCTGTGGATTTTTTCATCTGCATTTTAGTGCCGTATTGAGAATTAAATATAATTTTTCTTTCTTTTACACACAGATGGTCTTCTCTCATCACCACCTCTTTAGTGCTAGAGAGATGAAACAGTATTTTTTTTAAGGCCTAGAATGTTAATGTGGGAAGCAGTTCCAAAAGTCAGTTTGCAAGCATTCTGTGCCGGGGCTTCTTTTGGTACTAGGAGGCAGCTATTGCCAGCATGACTGAACAAGGTCAGGGAACACACGGGCATGACTTTGGGACCTTTGCAGCTGGACACTTCAGCTAAAAAGACCTTAAAATAAGAAGGTGAGGTGGGTGTGAGGATCCTCTTGTACATTCTACTTCACTGTCTAATGTTATCTGCAGATTTTATTCTGGTATCAGCCATCATGATACTAAGGTCAGACTCTTTCCAGAGTGTTGCTCAGTACCTTTACCAAACTGTGCTGTGTTTGGAGCATGAGAAAACAAAAGCCAGACAGGAAGTGTACTGCTGGCAGAACTTGAAATCATGTGAAAAGGTGGGTTTTGCTAAAGCCAATGGGAACTAAACAGAAAATAAGTACCGAGTCCCAAAACAATGTGAAACTAAGTAGAAAAAAAATCAGAAAGTTGTAACTTGGCAGCCCTCTTCCGTGTAACAAAGCTCAGTCAGACTTATATACGTGCATATTACAAAAAGGTTAATTTAATCAAATCTCACTCATATCTTCAAGAACAATGAAAACGGATGCATAGGGTAGTGAACTTCTCCACTTCCCAAACCTTTTCCCCTTTAGGATCAACCTCTGGGTGGAATGTATGCAGAAGGTCTTAGACACCGCCCCCCTGACATTTCCCCCCCTTGGAATTTATACTCTTGGTGTCAAACTAACAGTTCTTCTATGGCAACATGACATGTTCCAGATATATAAACTGAACGACAGAGGGACACATGCCAAATATACTTTCAGTAACATATAAAAGAAACTGAAATGTACTTACACCACAAACAGCAACTTGCATTATTGCATCAAATCCACCTTCAGGAGAATCCAAATTGCCAGAAATGTGCTGTTTGCCTACAAGTTTATTGAATAGGGTTCCATTGCCAGTAAGACTGAGCACATTTTTGTAGCTAAAAGGACTTGTACAGTTAAGATCACCTGTGCATGGGTTCTTGAGTTTGGCTGGTGTGGTACTAATGTAAGGCATTACAGTTTTTTCCACAAAAGAACCGAAACCTAAGAGAAAGAAAAGAAAATGGTGAAGGGAGCTATTGTGTTACATGTTACTCAAGGCACTAGGGCATCCTAAGGTTCCAGGAGAATTCTTCCCAGAGATATTTCCCCCTTTACCTAGAAAATATGGGACATTTTTTTACTACCAGGCAAGAAGTGGGGCACAAGGAGAAATGTCATAAAATACAGGGGTCATCTAAAAAAAGGGTTGCTTCAGAACTCTTCTATCTATCAGCTATTTTTTTTCAAAGACCAGACACTTTACTTTGGCAACTGTGAAGATGTCTGTTTTACTTATCCCTAAGCAAAGAACAAAATGTTACATGAAAACACCTCTCTGTTCAAGCAGACATTCCAGAGGGTGTTTTGCAAAGATCTCAGTCAGGAATTCAGAATGGCTTTTGGGGCCACTTTAGAAGTGAAGACCTCCAGAGAACTGAAGATTGCTGGAGCTACTGAGCCATGCGTATCCCTGAATGCCAAAGGGCCGTGTGTTTCAGAAAATGAACTTGGGATTAGTGGAATGTGCCAAAGGATCCTATCGTGACTCTTGGCATTTATTTTGTAGTACTGAATCAGCACAACGCTCCAATTCCTCACGGTGGCAGAGGCGCTGTGCAGTTTGTCACACACTATCAGCATTCCAGCATGCAGAATCACATTCGTGTGACTACAGTTGTTAGAAGCTGGGCAGACGCACAGAGTCAGCTATAGCATATTGAAGCCGCTGTAGGCTTGATGGTTCACCTGGAAATCTACAGAGCTGAATTGGAGGAAGGGCCGGATGCTTTGTGACAGCTGGACAGGCAACTCATCAGACTCTGCCAGAAATCTGGACAATACGACAAGGATGATCCAAATTCATTCTGAATGTCTGATTCATTCTCTCTGTATCCTCAGTCCATGTTCCATTTATGACGCTCTCCATTCCTTCAAGTGTTCAGTAACTGCCCAGATGAGTCTTCCTATTATTGCCACCACTCTGCCAGGCAGGACCTGATTCAGTCCCCTATCATGATACAGCCTATACTCTATTCCTATTCATTCTATGGACCACCAGAGCCTGTGCTCTTGGATAGCAGCGGCATTCTTGCTGACCACATACTGCTGATGGATACCTTCTTCCAGATTGTCATTTACCTTGGTGAGACTATTGCCCAGTGGTGCAAAACTGGCTATCAAGATATGCCTGAATATGAGAACTTCAAGCACTTACTGCAGACTCCTCTGGATGATGCCCAGGAAATCCTGCAGACAAGGGAACGACAAGGTTCCCCAGGCCACGTTACATTAACACGGAGCACGGGGGCTGTCAGGCACGGTTTCTCTTGTCTAAAGTGAACCCTTCTCAGACTCATAACAGCCTCTATGTATGGGGACAAGAATCAGCTGCCCCAATTCTAACAGATGATGTCAGTCTGAAGGTATTTATGGACCACCTAAAGAAGCTGGCCGTGTCAAGTGCATCCTAATTTTGACTTGCCAAGGAAGCCTCTAAAATCTATGAACTAACTGAATCCTGTTTTTCACCAATCACACTCTGCCATGAAGCTGATAACATTCCTTCTCTTCTTTTAACAAAGATGTAAGGGGGATTTTGTATTTCAGACTCAACTTATTGATGTACCTGTTGCCAGTATTCTGCCAATTCCCCCCCCCCTTCATATTCCAGGACCATGATTAATCTCACTTTAAACTGCCCTGTGTAATAATTTGTCTTTCTGTATTTGTACATGAAAAGGAAATGCTGTAAGTCAAAGAAGTAGCCAGTCCAATCTTTTTTAAAAAAATTCCACTCAAATTTTTATCCAAGTTTACCACCTTTACACATTTGCTTTTCCCCTTGCATTGAACAAGAGATCCTCAGAATTTTGCACCTTCACAACATATACACACAACCACAGCTTATAAGGTACTCACTAGAATTCAGAACTGAAAGATTTTATAGCAAGCTGTCTGCCCCTCTGTTTGAGGCAGGCACAAAGGTTGCAACTTTTCTCTCAAGTTCCTTGGTAAGACTAAAATGTTCTGAAGATGCTTTTGCATAGACCCCATATATAGCTCTTGTCAAAGACCACGAAGAACTACCAATGATAATCCTTGCTCAAGATTCACTTACTGATATAATAGCATCAACAATAATATATTTGTAACATCCAATTCTATTTCCTGACTGGAACATTTTAAGGATGAGTATCTGCCATGAAAACTACGAATTCTCTTTCAGAACATTATTCTATATTCAGGTGGGTAGCTGTGTTGGTCTGAAGCAATAGAACAAAATTTGAGTCTAGTGGCACCTGTAAGACTATCAAAGTTTAATTCTGGGTATAAGCTTTCATTTGCGTGCCCACAAAAGCTTAAACCTAGAATTAAACTTTGTTGGTTTTAAAGGTGCCACTGGACTCAAACTTAGTTCTAGAACATTATTCTGTTCTTTTACAAGCAACACAATATACCGGGAAACTAGTGTTTTTGACACATATTGGTCTCTTGCTTTCTCATGTATACAAATAAGATCCTTACCAATTCGAAAATCTGAAGTGATATTCTTCATTTTACTCATCAGAGAAGTTCCAAGACTTTTTACATTCTCCAAGTCATCTTTCATGGAGTAGGAGAGATCCATAAGGTAATACAGATCAATAGGGTAATCTTCTGCTCTCTTAAATTTTAATGAAAAGGTCTGTGGTTCCCCTAATTCCAGACAAAATAAAGATTTCAAACAATTCAGTAAAGAAGCTAAAACTATACATGGACAGAATATGACAGCCCTCCGCACACAAATTAGGAGTTTTAAACGCATGAAGTAAAAAAAATTAAAATAGTCTCAGATTTCTGTTGAAATTGTACTTCTGAAAGGCTGACCAGCAGTGACCATTCACAGAGACATAAAGGCACAAACTTAAGCTATCAATAAACTAGGGGGCTTTAACTAAACACACTCCATTATATTCTGCAGGCACAGAATGTAGGATGTTTGTCTGTCCAATTCATCAGTTACTAGCATGATTTTCTTTTGACTTCAATAATACAAACTCTACTAAAAACTTTCAAAATATCTTCTTTTCTTAAACTTCTCTCCTTCCCTATCTTTTGCTGACTGAATCTTCTCAGGATTGCCCCAAAAAGCACAAAAGGCACAAATGAATAATTTGCATTTCTAATTTTGCTCTTCACAGGTGTCATATCGTGGATTAGGCTTGTAGGTGTTCTTATCCTGATCATCTTGGTATTTTGCAAAATTCATTGAGGGTCTACTTCCATATTCTAAACCCCCTAAAGGCAAGGACTGTGCGGAACAGAAAAATGAGCTTTCAGGCAACCGTATCTATACTTTCAGAAGTTACAGAGTTAAATTCAACTATGTGAAGAACTGCACTGAAAGGATTCAAGACTGGCAATGCATTCATGATTATACTGCCACATCCCAGCCAAAGTGTACCATCCACTTGCCACACTGAAATCAATAACTGTGATCATTGGATGAGTAAAGTTACATTTCCCCACTTTTCATTTGAGCAAAAACTCCAGCAGCTGTAGCTCTTAATAAGATTTAGCTGTGTTTCTTAACTATTTTAAGTTGAACTCAGAGATCTCTTAGCACACTGCTTTCAGTAGTAAAGCTTCAAGTCTGCCTCTGGCTCTACAGCCTTCTATTTCCATCTCCTATCTCACTATCTTCATCTGAGACAGCCTTCACTTGCTAATTTTTCATAGCTGCAAATTCCAGTAATCTTAAGGCACAACAGTACAAATGAAAAATCTACAAGCAGATAATGCACTGCTAAAAGAAGACCCTCAAACATTCACTTTCTCTTGAAAGTTAGATCAAGATGGGTAGCCGTGTTAAGACTGTATCAGTAGAAGAGAGCAAGAGTCCAGTAGCACCTTAAAGACTAACAGAAATTGTGGCGGGGTATGTGTTTTTGTGAGTTACTGCTCACTTCTTGCAAGTTAATTGTGGCACAGCAAGAAAGAAAGCCATCAAATCACATGGAGAATATTTAAAACTTGTTCAGAGCAACATCATAAAACTCTTCTGGGACTGTTGCAACTTTCCTTTCTTGTAAGGAAGCCGCAGCACAGAATAAATTGGGAAGTGGATTTAAACTCTGGACCTGGAGTTCAAAACACATTTTAGTCAGCATTGCTTCTTCTGCCTCTCTGTACACACTAGCTCCCAAAGTGTTTCCCTTCACTAGACTTTGTTAATTTAGAAACTTGTCTGGTAGCTTAAATCACAACAGTACAGTTCAGCTATGCTTTGTTGCCCTTGAAATCACAGCACCAAGGCTGCAAAAACTCTAGTGAAAGTTCTACACAACTCATGCACAAAAGCATGTGAATCAGATTTATGAATCCTCTTCCATACAAAAGCCACTCTGAAAGTTTAAACACCTTCTGAAAGTTTAAACACTTCCCCATGGCCAAACATGGCTCTACAGCCTTCAGGCAACCCTCTATTTCCATCTCCTGTCTCACAATCTGCATCCGAGATGAACCTCACTTTTGATATATTGAAGTCAATATATTTACAATATATTTGCCTGTTCAACCCCTAAGTAATCTTTAGTTTGAAACTTATACCAGAAGATCCCAGCATTCCAAGAATTCCCATAGCACATTACATGAAGTTTGGTCTTTTGATTTTTAATATGCCTATTTATTTACAAGCCAACTGAGTTGCCTTTGTAAAAGGGAATGTACAAAAGAGATTGAAATGCAAGCCGAAACCCCCAAGGCACAGCATCAAGCCAACAGAGACGTCATAACGATCACAGAAACTTGACAGAAAAGGATTTACAGACTTACAAGCCCACTGTTGTACAGATTCTTCCTTCACTCCACCTGTACTTTATTTTAAGAGATCTTGAAAGCAGTCACTTTTTATTAGCGGAAATAAAATAAAATTCTGCTGTTTTACTATTGGTTTGAGCCAATGCTTTAAAGCAAAAGAGGAAACAAAAAAAAATCTTCAGGTACGACACCCCCCCCCCAAAAAAAACACACCATAACTTTCACCCTTACCTATTCGTAGCTTTAAGGCCACTTGCTGCGGTTGTATCTGAGTGATGTTTTCCTCTTTGAGACTTTCAGCAGATCCTTTGGCACGATTTGTTACCTCCTTATTTTTGAGCATCTCTTGAGAGCCTCTGGGATTTTCTATTTCCTCTTGAGGGCAGCCCTTACTTTTTAAAACGTCTAAGTCATCACATCGCGCTGAAGTAGATTCTCCATCTTGAAGGAAGCTCTAATAAAAATGAACAAGGAGTGGTTCAAGGCTGTTCATTCATATCCAACATAATTGACCATAAAAAGCAGTAAGGTAAAAGGTAAAGGTTTCCCTTGCTCGGAAGCCAGTCGAGGCCGACTCTAGGGTTGCGGTGCTCATCTCCGTTTCAAAGCCGAAGAGCCAGTGCTGTCCGAAGATGTTTCCGTGGTCATGTGGCCGGCATGACTAAACACCAAGGCGCACGGAATGCTGTTACCTTCCCACCGTAGTGGTACCTATTTATCTACTTGCAATTTCTTGCTTTCGAACTGCTAGGTTGGCAGGAGCTGGAACTAGAGACGGGAGCTCACTCCGTCATGCGGCACACTCGGGTCTTGAACTGCTGAACTACCGACCTTCCACAGCCTGCAGTTCAGCGTCTTAACCACTTGAGCCACCGCAGCTCCTATAAAAAGCAGTACGATAGCCTAAAAAGCCATACTTGCCCTATTTTAAAATACATTTATATATATATTAGCTTTTAAAATATATGTAGTACTGGATTTCATGCTGAACTGAAAAAACCTATTTCAGTAAATTGATATTTTACTAGTGTAGTGTACACTAGTCCTGTACAATACCGATCACCAAACTACTTCACTGTTTAAAGATGTTGTCAGGTTGTTATTTCTAATTATTAAACACTTTGAAAACTGCTAAATGAAAAGCAGCATATAAGTGAAAAAGAAACATTAAGTCTTATAAAACAGAAAGTAACTTGAAAACAGCCTTCTCTAACAAGCATCAGCTAAGCCCATAATGTTTTATTTGGAATTCTGTTAAGATTTCATACATTTGACAAGCTGGGGAATACTACATCTTTAGAATTTCAGGGAGAGAAGAACCATGTAATAAAGGTTTTTTAAATCTTGATTTTGAAGGGAACAGTAAGTCAGTCTGGTTTTAATGACCAGAGTATCATAGTCAGTATCTGGCACTGTGTGTGTAAAGTCCAAAAAGCAGCCATAGCATAAAAACCTCCAAACATAATTTCTTTCATACTAATAGAGATGGCTGCAATTGCTGAAAAATTGCAACAAAGACAACAGGTGCTGCCTGTGGCTGTATCTGTGAGATAGGTCAGTTCACACTTCAGTTGGTTCAGAAATAACAAGCCATGGTTTGCAGCTATGATAATGACACTAGGAGATACTCGGGATTCCACGTCTTCCCCCAGTTATGTGTGACCCACTCACAAGTTTAACTGCTATTATGCCCAAACAACCAAACTATGCTTTGTACTTTCTTTGCAACCTAACATTCCAAAAAGTAGCTTATTTCAACTTTGGACTTTTTTTGTTTGCAGGGAAAATACAAATCAGTTTGTCGGTTCAGATACATGTCATGTAAACCAGTCCTCTTTTTTTGTTTGCAAGGACAAGGGGAAAAGAGCGGCTGGTATTAACAAGAAACAAAAACTATATGGACAAGTGAAGCTTTGCGCCCCCCCCCATACATATATGATAGCTTACTAGTACAAAGTAAGAATGATTTTCGTCTATGATCTAGCTCTTGATGAGTTATAAACCCATGCCTAGGCTTTACTGTTTCAGACAAGGGGTGTGCAAGAAAATCCAAATTCAGGTATAACGGACTTGAAAATACTAATACAGAATTCCCACAGTCCAATACTGGTAAAGTATTGGGGCTGGGGAAATATTTGGGTCTATTATTGTCAGACTCTTGAACAAACTTACTTGCAACAACACTCTCTTGGCAGTGATTTGTTTATTGAGAGATGAGGATGTATCAAGCTAAGACCATCTTGTGTCAGAACTGACTTGGTTGGCGCCAGGTCTGGAATTATATATGATTCAAACAAGCCCCCCCACCCCGGGTGACCTGTCCAATCAATCCATCCATTCAGCCTGCCTAAACCTAGCGCACTCTGTTAGCTCTCTTCCCCCACCTGCGAACCTACAGTTACATTATCTATAACAGGCTGGCAGCAGAGACAGGCATTCAAGGTCATTTCACATACTTCCTGCTTTGGGAGGCCCCTTAAGAAAACAATTGCAAAGCAGCTAAGCAAAGCAGTCCCCCCCACACACTCTTACCATCCCCCCCAATGCCCCAAATCCAGAATCCAAATGATGTGGTTACAGGTAGTGAAGATGAAACACACAGAATTCATGGCAAACGAGGTTCCGAGTTTGACAATTATAGGACTGGGGAGGGAAGGGAGGCATGTTAAAATGCCTTCCTTCCCTCCCCAAGTTTCACTACTTCCACTGCTCAGTTTCACTCCCTGCCAGTCAGCTGTTACATTTAAATAGCCTAAACCTAACAGCTGACAGGTAGATGAGAGTGAAACTGACGAGTGGAGGCCTCCTCTCCTCTCCCTGCCTTCCCTTCCCCAGCTGCCTGGACGAGGCAGAGCACCAAGGCATGTTTAAATGCCCTTCTTTCCCTCCCTGAGTTTGGAGAGGGAAAGAAAGCACCAAATTTTATGTCAAGATATAGTGTTTTTATTATGCTGTTGTTTGTATGCATATTTTAACTTCGGCATGGCCGTTTGTTAGCCGCCCTGAGCTGTATATTGGATGGGGCGGGATATAAATCCCAAAAATAATAAATAAATAAATAAAGGCATTTAAACCTGCCTTGCTCTCCCTGCTTTCCCTCCCTGAGTCTCCCTGCAGCAGTGGGGAGGCTCAGGTAGGGAAGGGAAGGGAGGCAAGCGTGCTTGGGCTCTCTGCCTTCCCTTCTCCGGCTGCCCCGCTGAATGCACACCCCTATTTCAGACTGCAGGTAGTGTTCACTTGGTTGACCTCTCCTCCAAACAGAAATATAGTTGTCACGCAGTGTTCCCTCTAAGCTGTGGAGTCTTGTGAGCAAAAAATCTACTTTGTGAGCTACTGATATTAAAGTTGTGAGCAAGCGATTTGGCTACTGCATACATTACTTTGCTCTGGAGCCATCTTTCCTGAGCTAAGACAAAAATGTGTGAGCCGGAGACTAAAAAACTGTGAGTTAGCTCACATTAACTCAGCTTAGAGGGAACACTGGGGAACAGATTTTGAGGCTAGATGCTCAAAATCCCAGCTTTCTATGAATGGGATTTTTTTTTTAATGAAAGAACATTCGATCACGTGAGGCTCCACCTACAGTTTGAAATTGTAGCTCCTAATGCCGTTTCACCACTTAGTGAAAACTAGATCCAAGAACTAAATATTGAAACCAAGACATTTTAGAATTTGAATTGGATTTAACATGCACATAAACTTCACTGCTTTCCTGCCCCACCTGCTTTGTCTGCATCTAAAGTTACTGCCCTTCTAATGTCACCGGAGAATATAATTAAATCCAGACAGACTCCAGAGTGGAATGGTTTTTAAATAACTATGACAGAACACAGGGTGCGAGAGAGGGAACAAGAGACACGCAATCCTAGAGCCTTGATTATTGACAAAGGAAGCAAACTGAATCTAAGGAGTTTAATTGTACAGGTAATTCGTCATCCTCCTAAATAAGCCTTGATTTTTAATATGATATTTAGCCATTGGCCTACTTCACTGATTACGACAAACAGTTGCTTCTGGGAAGCTTGGGGCAGCGGCTTTTAATGTCTGTCTCATGATCCTAATGATGTCAGTACAGAGAACAGTCCTCATAGCCCATGCGTTCTTAGGTACGCCACTCACAGTGATTGTGGGCCATTTTACACACGTGAACAGGCTACTGGTTGTGTTAACACGGCCCCTGGATATGGAATCACGTGACGAACCGCAGTGTGAATCTGACTATATATGGATGCAGCCTGCAACAGCCAACAGGCACTTCCAATTGTTTCCAGCTGGAAACAGTAAAAGGGAGGGGAAGCAAGAGAGTAACTGAAGTGCTGTGCCAGCACACTCTTTAGTAGCCTTGCAGAAAAAGTCAACGGAACTTCTGTGGATGAGCTAGATGTGAAGAAAGAAATGATGACTGACTCCGTGGGAGGGAGACGCACATTTCTGCCTGCAAATGGGTTTAACAACCAGAGGATGAGGAAATGTATCAATCTGGATGTTAAACTTGCTCAGGTATATCGACATCTGGGTCGTGCACAATGGGCTTGTACCATTAGTTAAAATACCTTATTAACAAGTACGCTCTCTAGTCTTCCAGGGTGAGGAACATAAGAGAAGCCAATGTTGGATCTGGCCAATGGCCCATCCAGTCCAACACTCTGTCACACAGTGGCCAGAAATATCAGGTGCCATCAGGAGGTCCAGCAGTGGGGCCATGACACTAGAAGCCCTCCCACTGATGCCGCCCCCCAAGCACCAAGAATACAGAACATCACTTGCCCCAGACCGAGAGTTCCTAGCTATACCTTGTAGCAACCTCCTTTCATAGTTGAGAATTATTCTAAGATATTCTCCTCCAATTCTGAGGGGAGAGAACTCTTATTTGCCTGGGTAAAAGGAAAACTCCCAGACTGGACTCCAGTGCATTTACATTGCACAAAGGACTTGGGGGAGGGAGAGGAAAGGGGAGTAGAGCCAGTCTATAGTTTTGTGTTGGACTGGCACAAGCTCAGAAATACCAAGGAAATTCCTCACTGCTTCAGAATGTGCCCTAGCCAGCCAGCAAGTTAATGATCCTATCTGTTCTAAGAGAAAGGATCGGTGCTATCTCATCCCTGTCTCACTAGAGTGCTTTTCATTCTCTCTGCTCCTTTGGAAGGACGTGGTCATTCACATGTCTTGCACTAAGCTGGAAGGTGCTCAGCAGAAGTGAAAATATCTCCCTATTTCTGCATGCCTCTCTGCCCAAAATGGAATGGAAGATTCTTTGAACTCCGGGAGGGAAGGCATGATCTTTTCACCTCACTTGGAAAGGGAAGCATTCAGAAATAGCGAGCATCCATTTTTTCACTTTTGAGCGTGCCTCAGCCCGGTGTGAGACCAACCTCCACTTCTCTGCTTGTGGTCAGGGGACAGGTGGATTCCACAAAAAATGGTCAGGTGAAATTTAAGGGCCCCTCCTTGCTTATCAGATGCCCTAACCAATCCCCAATCACTGTACAAAAAGCAACAACGCCATCCTGATTCTTACTGTTCCCTGTTCCCTCATTTCTGCTCCATTAGCTTTTTCCCCACAGCTGATCTTGTTTGCAATGCAAGCAGCAGACTGGCAATTGTTTCTAGATTTTGATCTTACTTACCACTACTTTTAATCTTAAGTGCAGTCTAGGGACAGGAGGGAAGAACTACTCCAATACCGATACAAAACATAAGTCCGCAGGCACCAAGGAGCTACCCAGCAAAGGTACTGCCTACGAGCTTTATCTTCTTTCTGTCCCTATGCAGACTCCCTGAGAAATTAATTTAGGCTCTAACTCAAGGGGTGTGGGATGTTCCACTGACTGGCAACAGAGCAGGTTGTAGTAAAAATTAGATCTGAAATTGATTTCGGCTGATTTTAAACCACCTTGTCAAAATCGTAGCTCAGATCCACTTCAACATTTCATGTCAAAGAGCCCTACGGCTTCTGTTTACAGTTACAGCTAATTTATCAGTGTAAGGAAAAGTACTAAACCAAATCTTTGCCTAAACAGGCATGACTACATATATAACGTAACAGAAAATAGCAACATAAAACATTTAGAAGAAAATACATACTATATTTTTGCACCATCCACAGTTTGGTCCAGCTTGAATGCAGTCAGCACATGATTTTGCATTAACTTTTATACAATTGCTCCCACCTGTAAGAAAGTACATAAAAGATAATTTTAATAGTCATACATAGCTTATTTGAGCTTAGTAAATGTCAATTAAGCTAAAATAGCCACAGTGGGTGCTTGCAAAATCCAATTAAATCGCAAATTCACAACTGAACCAAGGTCCTCCATTTCTCAGACTGCTCACGGGTTCCGAGAGACTTTTAATGAGTAGTTCAGCAAAATTTGTATTTTTTTAAAAAAAGCCTTACCTTACTCTATGTTTGCAGAGATGGTGGACACCAAGAAACTGTTCCCCCCTAAGCATTACTGCAGTGCACTTGTGTGATCCAGCAAGTGAGGATCTCACAAGTGCTTACCCATAACACTTAGGAAATGTTCTGTACATATCAGAATGGCTTCTTTTGCTCTAGAGCACTGCTCTCAGAAGTATACCTTCTTTAAGTGCCAGGGTTTTTCCTGGGAGCCAGCTTTTGTAGCATCACTGCCAGAAGTACAGACTTCCACTCCTAGCAGGAATTCTGACACTTAAGAGGACCTCCTGTAAGTGGCAAAATCAGTGCATGGAGCTAATAACACTTTGAGAATAAGAAATCTCACAATTTAGAGACCTTGGTAACTGCATTCCATTTGACTTCCCTAACGTTGGGGAACCTTATGGAAACCATGTGAGCACACTTAGCAAGCTCCTTGAAATACACGGTTGCACACGTGTGCTCCTATAGCTGTAGAAAAATCTTCCCCAGCACTGGGGGAAAATGGGGAAAAATTTGTGGTGAGGGACGGACTTTTCCCTCTCCACTCTTGGGCTTCTCTTCCATCAAGATTCAGTCTTCAGTTCCCCCAGGAGTAGAGAACAAGCAAACCAAGAACAGACTAAACTGCAGGAATCCCATCATCCCTGCTAATCCGTTATATGAAGAGTTATAAATGTAGTAATGCTGATAAGGAGCTTGCAAAGTCTCACTTATCCAAGCTAGAAGCATTTGTGCAAGCATGTTGCACTAACACTGGCTTCTTTTTTTCTTGCTCATAATGAATCCAGGTATTAAGGCTACTTCAAATAGTACAATTTCTGGACTGGACTACAATACCACATACATAAAAGCCCCAAAGCTGAATCTTAGTAGCCATGAGTGACTGACTGCACACTTCTGTACACACCCCTCTGGTAGGAAGCGCAGCCACCATGCCACATAGCTCTGCACACAGCTTTGCTCTCTTTCTTGCTTGGAAGCGTAGGAGATGCAATGCATTTCACGTCACTCCACACTGAAGAGAGCTACAGATTCAAGGTGTAGTAGCATTTTAGTGTCCTCCAGTTGGCGTTCAAGTCAGGAAAACTAGCATTACCGTATAAGGTTCAACTCAAACCCTTCTGAGCACTAACTCCTCCTCTTGCTCTCTCCTCTTTGAGAGGCTCCCACACCAGTGTCAATGCTATGGCAATGCAGGGCAAGAACAATGCACATCAGTGCAGCACCCCATCTTTTGGCATGAATCATTCAATACCAGCACAGCAATCCAAGGTCTGTACAATGCAATAATCCACAAACCCACAGCAACAGAACATCACAAATTCGAAACTCCTGAACTTACCTTGCTGGGCAAATCCACAGACGATAAAGCAGTTTAATAAGCCAAACCAGATGAACAACTTGAAATTTGCCTGGAAAATAAATGCGAAATTAATCAAACAAATCGGTTATGTCTCCTCTTCTTTTCTCATAAGCACCAAAGCTATAGTAAATGTGGGCTCACAAATGCAGTTCAGACGACACTGTGACCACACAGCTCTCCCAACCGTGCTGTAAAAATCATGTAATTGTTTTTATAATGGACTTGTAAAAACTGACAGTATGAACAGAATGACTTTTGTAATACCTTATTAACTCAATGCTCATTCTGTTTTTTAGAATTCTGTTGAGAGCAAAATCTGCGATAGATCTAAGAAATACGGCATAACATTGCATACACACAAAAGGACCAGTTTACACTGTGTCTAACTACTTTATATGGATGACCATGCATAGGAATACAACTCTGAATACATTTTGAATGGTGTATCTTGAGTTGATACCAGGGGCGGGGGCTCCCACTTGAGACAATAACATGCTTTTAGAAAACATAGAACCACCTGGAATATTGTAAAGCAGCAATCAGACAGGAAACAAACTATTTACATTTCTTTTCCTGCAGTTTCATAGCTCTCATCCAACACAGGGAGATGGACACTCACCACAAGTGTTCCGTTCCTATTTGGAGAAACACGCATCTCTCCAAGGAGGAATATTTACCTTCCCTTCACACAAGAGTCAGAAGCATAAAAAGAACAGGAAGCCAGTCTCCCTCTTTTATTGCTTCTTAGGAACAGCCACTTTTGCAATTTCTTCGTCATGCTCTCACCTTCAAGATAAGATTATAAGTGTGTGTGTGTGTGTGTGTGTGTGTGTGCATGTGAAAAATGGCAGAAAACATGAGCCAGTGTCAAGATGGAATGATACTTTTAAGAATATGGCACTTGCAAACCAGTTTCGGCAGCTGTAATCTATAATAATAAAAGGAGGTGTCTGTCTGGAGCACTCATAATTCCTCAGAAAATAAAGCTAGGATTTTCCAATTACCTCCCTCCCAATCTTCTCCCCAAAATGAAGGGAATCAGAAGCATGGTGGCCCAGATTATCTGTAGAAAGCCCTACTGTGCTATTTGCAGTGGAAGCAAAAGTTGTCCTTAGAGCAGTTACCTACGGGGCTGGCAAGTGAAGTGAGCAAAGCAGAACTCTAGTTACAAAACAGTCATACAGTCCAGTAAGAAATAATCAACAGGTTAAAATTATCCCAATATATCTTTCTACATTTTTGGTCTCATCAATCGAGTAATAAAAAGGAATATAAGCACACAAGGTCTTAAAAAGCCGCCTGTTGCTTTACTCCTCTCCTGCAGTAAAGATTTTGTTTTACAATGGCCTGTAAAAACAAATGAACAATTAGCAATAACATATCCAATTAGGCTCAAGTGGTAACTTGCCTGTATGAATAAACCCTCACCATTAATTCTAGTCAAACATTATGCTTTTCAATAGGAGTCATATTACCTGCAAGTGTTAAATCAGGTTATAAACAAATATTAAATTATAAAAAGAATTGGAAGTTAATTTGTAAAGCTTTTTTCTGAATTGTTTAATTTACAAATAATAATCAGATTATATATAAACAAGTCCTAAATTCCTTCTCAAAGAATAAATTTAGTGAAACTATTCAAAAGTACCTGTTTTATTTAATGAAGTGTGGCACTACCATAACTTCTACCCATCGCATCCTAAAAACTACTTCTCAAACCTTAACTTCAACCTCACCCTGTTCTTGTCCACCTATAGACCCCCAGATGTGAAAATTTCTATATACTGTACAATGCTTTGCACTTGCCTGGTACCAAATACACAGGTACAAAGACCAGAGGGATCCCATAAGACTGCATGTATGATTTAGAAGATGCCCCCAAATAAACTTAAGAGTATTTACATTCAAGCTAAAGAGTATTCAAAGATCTATATAGCACGATGTTGTTATGAAACTAAAAAGAATGCCTAACATTTGATATAACAATGTTAGTACATTGACCTAGTGCCTAGGATTTGTCAAGTATTGCCTTAATTGTTCTTTCCAAATGCAAAAATCTTATTTCTCAAATGATAATTTCTCATTTATGCCATAGTTTAGACAAGGGGTGTCAAAGATACGGCCCGCGGGCCGGAACCTGCCCAACCAGGTCTCTAATCCGGCCCATGAGTAGACCGCCGCCCCCTGCTGGTAAAGATTTACTGCTGCCTGTTGGGGTTGATCGGCAGCTCCCTGAAACTGGCTTTTTCGGGGACTGAGATCAGCTGTTGAAGCTCAGTGTGATGGCAGCTCCACGTGACTAGCTTTTCTGGTGGCTGCGATTAGCTGTTTCCTCTCCCTCTGTTGTTGCCGCGCAAAGTACCTCATGTGCTTGTTCACAAAGACTTCAAGAGCCTCAGGGTGTTCTGCAACTTGTTTTTGGGATATCCTTTGCAATTTGAAGCTCCCTGCTGTGTTTTGTTTACGAAAGCTGCAAACTGGAAGAGGCACAATTTCCTGCTGCAGGCTCAGACGTGGGATGAGTAAGGTTCCCCCCCCCCCATTATTATATTGTAGTAAAGTTGCATGTTTGTTAAGGATTATTTGCCTGGTAGCAATTTGAGAAGTCAGAGTCAATTTAAAAAAAAAACCTCTTTGAATACAGTACTTTTGCTGTTATATTCTGGTGAATCTGCATTATAAGTTTTCTGGAGAGTTATGGATGCTTTGCCTGATAGCAATTTGGATATGAGCTGCTAGCAAAATCCCCCCACCCCCCAAAAAACCCCTCTTTGAATAAAGCTGGCTTCATCATGTTACATGTTAATTAGCTCTTCAGCCTCTCTATTGTTTCTTGTTATAGTATTTCAATTGTGTTTAGTTTTCGGTTTCTGAGTTTATACTGTTTTTCAATTTGTGTGCCAGCTCAAGAATGAGATGAAGTGGCATATAAATATACACATGGGGAGTATGATTGCAGGTTTAGGCATACTCAAGATTGCTACAGCACAGATATTGTCTCCAGATTTTGATGCAATAATTCAGAGCAAGAGGTGGCAGTCATCAAAGACTGTTAAATAAAATATTGCAAGATGCTAATTATTGTTAATGTTTTCATTATTGTTCATTAATTATTAATGTTTTAGGCATGTTTGTGTTTTAAGTAAAAATAATGTCTTTCATTGTGTTGGTTTGTGTTCTTTATAAAGTTTATATCTCTGGTACATGGCATTACATTTTATGACACACATGACTCGGCCCCACAAAGTCCCATTTATGTCAGATCCAGCCCTCGAAACAATTGAGTTCGACACCCCTGGTTTAGACCAACACTATTTTAAGTGGCTTTCATTGAACATAACCTATTAAAAACTTTCAAAGCACCTCACTGGCTAGCAATATGAATTATAACAGTTTATTTTTATTTTATTTTATTAATCAGATTTATATCCCGCCCTTTCAGCCGAGGCCGGCTCAGGGCAGCTTACATGAAAAGATAAAACATATCAATAAGAAAACAATGTTCCTAGTATGGTGTAAAAGGAAATGTTTCTACAGAGCATCATTATTAGAAGTGTTTATATTATTTCACCTCCATGGTATGTTAGACCTGAGAAAATGTCATCTGAGAACAGAGATAAGAAGCCAAGTGACGTAAACTGACTATCCTTAGCTAGCAAGGGCTGTTGCCTGCACTAAAACCTGTATCTGAACCTTCAGTACTGAAAAATCTTCATACGATATAGCTCTCACATCACAACATGTTCAATGTCTGCATCACACCAACTTATTTCTTATAAACATATTCCATCACATTTTTAGTCTACTCATCCTCCAAGAAGCTCAGGGCAGCATAATTAGTTCTCCCATTTTTTACTTCGTAACAACCCTGTTATGTGAGTTAGGCTGAGAGACTGAGACAGGCCCAGGGTCACCCAATAAGCTTCATGGCTGAATGGGAATTTGAAACTGGGTTTCCCCAGCCCAAGTCTAACACTCCAACCACTACAGTACATTTGAATCACATCATTCTGCACTCACTGGGTACGTGACCTAGAGAAGTGGCACAATCACAAAGGCCACAGCCTGAATCTTGCCTCTTCTATGAACTCACAAGGTGGCCTCGGAAACAAGCTATTCTCTTTTCTCACTCCCTGCAATACAAGGATAATATTGATCTGCCTTACAGGATTATTGTAACATCTGAAAGAGCTCTACAAAAAGCTTCAGATCACCAGCTGTGTGACCATCATTTCCCAAACAAACAAGGCTCCGTAGGTCGCATGCACAAGCTATGTCTGAAAACGTGACCAGTGGGAAGAGTTACTTTTTTCAGAAGAAAAGAAAAAAGGAGTGCTAATGCAATGAGGAGTTAAAGAGGCTAACTGGATCAAAGATAATATGCCCCATCATGTTGCTTGGGTCTTGGACTAACACAGGGTCACTGACAACAGAAAGCAAGCAGTATCTGATGAACTAGGCACAGGTGAAACCAGAAAAATAAATCAAATCAAAATCAAGGACATGAGTATCAGCCTTATCCATCTAATATGTTTTTATCTTGCCCTATAAAAAAAATCGCAGAACAACATCCACACTTCTCCCTACCCCTTGTAGGAAAAAAACAAACCAAGAAACCAAGAAATCCATTATCAAAGTTTTAACAATATCTGGGGTTGATGCAGGCCTTTCCCTAATTCTCAAATGACTAAATTCATGAACACCTCACATAGTTTAGTTTATTTTCCAAGTAGGTTCACAAATGCTTACTTAACACTTGACTGCAGCATTGGATGGTGACATGAATGAACTATCACAATTACAACACAGAACTTAACAATAATCAAAAACGCTCTGCAACCAAGGCAGCTCAGAGATTCCACTGAGTCATCAGATGATGTACATCAATGTGGACTAGCTCTTACTTCTTCAAATGCTGAAGAAATGATTCATTCATCTGCTACAAGTCCTCAAATCAGTACTTGTAGTAGTAATTCAATTTTCATAATTCAATTTGTTCTGTAGTGGGAGGTTACATGTGTTAATTCTATACCCCATTTATTTATTATCTGT